AATAATTTTCAATATAGACATACTTCATTAAAAAGATAAAATTTCATTATCTTCCTCAATCTGATCAAGTTTTCTCTTGAAAAACGAGTCTATTCTTGATGACTTTGACATATCCTAAAAATAAAAATAATCAAATACGCACGAAGAAAATCAATAATCCAAACAAAAAGTAAAGAACCAGTGAAAAAACAATAACTTGTTTCACTTCAATAGTGCTGTGAAAAGGTTGGAAATTTAGTTAGTCCATGACAAGCTAAAATGCAAAAGGAGCACACAGAAATGGATAAAAATATAACATCTCTTGACCAATAAAAAATTCATACAAATCCAGCTGAAGATGGGAAAATCAACAGCCAATTCCCCATCAAGACCTCCAGCTATACACAGAAAAATTGGGGAAAAAGCAACTGAAGCAAAAAAAGGATTGAAGAAATCACATATTCACATCTGAAATCAAGAATCTAAACACCCCCCAAATTAGTCAACAAATAATGACACAATTAACAATAAAATTAATATTTAAAAAATAGTATAAGCCTATATATGATTCATGTATCAAAAATTGATATAAGCCTATAATGATCTAAGCTAGAGAGGATACATGAAGACATTTAAAAATGATGAATAAATACACACATTGAGTGCTAGTTTTAAACCCTAAATCCCTAAAAAGGATAAATAAATCTAAGTATGAACATGAACATAAATTAAAGTACTCACAAATATGAAAGCATGATCAAATACTCAGAAAAATCAAGGAATTGTTGAGTATATTTGCTGTTGCAGATTTTTTTTTTGTGCTTGCCTCTTGCCTGCGAGAAGGGAACTGCGAGAGAAGAAAACTCTGTTTGTGTTGCGAGTGGACCTGCGGTCATGTGCTGTTGCTAGATTTATTTTTTAAGTTAATTAAATAGTCTTGATTAGCTTGATTAAATATTAATAAAGATAAAATATAATATTATAATACATAAAAAGTTGAAAGTTGGGTTGGGTTGTTTTNAAATATATTCATGGGCCTTGGTCTAGGCCCACCTAATCAAATACAATATATTTTAGTTAATGGGTTAGGGGGGCAAAATCAAATAAATATACTTAAACCATTATATTATATGTATACATAGGTCCATTATATTATATGTATACATAGGTGAAAAAAAAAAAAAAATAAAAAAAAAAAAAAATGTTTGGGGGGACCATGGCCCCCTATGGTACATGTCCGTACGCCTCTGCACTTACCCTAAACGACGATATAGTCTCGTGGACGGCAATGATCAACGGATATGCGGAGCACGGTATAAGCCGCGAAGCCATAGAACTATTCAAGAGAATCCCGGACGCAGGCCTACGGCCCGACTCGGTGACTTTCATCGGTGTCCTCGGCGCGTGCAGCCACGCGGGGCTCGTCGGTCTGGGGTCCCGCTATTTTGACTCCATGATTAAAAAATACCGAATTTACCCCTGTAAGAGTACTGCGGGTGCATGATCGACCTGTTTTGTCGGGCGGGGAGGTTAGAGGAGGCCGAGAGGATGATGAGAGAAATGTCGTTTGAGAAAGAAGTCGTCGTCTGGTCGAGCGTGCTGAGGGCTAGTCGGGAGTGTGGTGACGTGGAGCGCGGGCGGGTCGCGGCTGAGGAGGTGATTAGGCTTGACTCGGAGTGCGGTGGGGCCCACATCACGCTGGCGAATATGTACGCGTCTGGTGGTAGTGGAAAGAGACGGCTGGGGTGAGGAGGTTGATGAGGTGGAGGGGTGTGGTGAAGGAGCCTGGGTGGTCGTGGGTGAAGGTGAAGGAGGAGGAGAAGAGAGTGTCGGCTTTTGTTGCGGGGGATAGGAATCATCCTAGGTGCGATGAGGTTTATGGGGTGTTGGGGTTGGTGTATTGTTCGAGTGAGGAGTTGAGTTTCGAGGAGGTTGATTCGAGTGTGTGTGTTTTCGGA